ATAGATAGATAGATAGATAGATAGATAGATAGATAGATAGATAGATAGATAGATAGATAGATAGATAGATAGATAGATAGATAGATAGTATTTAACTTTTTACATCTTTAATACACATTATTTGGTTAGTATTACTGAATAAAGCTGATGATAAGAATAAGGATGAAGATGGCTGCTGAGAAGTAAAGGGTTTTCTTTCTCTTATTCACAAGCTGCTGTGTTTGCTGCCACAGCTGGTTCTTTTAAAGTTTTTCCCCCTGGAACTGAAAGGTGGGCAATAAATTAGGAATGACCCAGAACAACTTTTGGATGGCTGTGGAACCAGCAGAGAGAGGGAATCTTGAAGATTGCAGCTCCTTGTGGGAACAGCTGAAAAGTCAATTGGCATTTATACTTCTTTCCACTATAACATTATTGTAGGCATGCTTAGGATTTCTTTTTTTTTTTTAAGGATGAAGATGATGAAAACAAAATGTTTTCAACTGGAATTACATCTTAACTTAAATAAGGAACTGCCATATCATTAAATTATGCCATAATTTTATGCCATAAGTGACAGTGTTTCTTATAACCATTGTTAAAAGTTTGCATATATGAGAAGCATAGCTAGAATCTGAGGAATCTTTAATTTTAGAAGGAAAGATCCTAGGTATATCAGATGACTGTAATGGAGATTACCATTCAACTGCTGACCAGATATCTTACTTATTATGTTTTATTAAATGTATATATTCTTGCACATTCATATTCTATATTCGTAAGTATATTCTGAATACTTTTAAGTATCGTATCAGTTCTTTATGAGGAATCCTTGTTTTCCATAGGCTCTGCAGCTCCTTGATGTAACCTAGAGAACAACCCATGGAACATAGAAGAGACAATAATCAAACAGTAATAAAAGAATTCATCCTCCTAGGATTTGGAGATATTTCTGAGTTTCAAATCCTTCTTTTTCTGGTGTTTCTAGTTATCTATCTTGTGACAATGCTAGGGAACGTTCTTATTATTGTCTTAACTGTAACTGACTATCACCTTCACACTCCAATGTACTTATTCCTGATAAATTTGTCTTGCTTAGAAATCTGCTATATTTCAACTATTTCCCCCAGAATGCTTGACAGCTTCCTAACTGGAAATCAGTTGATGCAATTAAATTCTTGTTTCACACAGTTATATTTCTTTGGGGGATTGGCTACAGCAGAATGCTATTTACTTTCTGCCATGTCTTATGATCGGTATTTAGCAGTATGCAAACCACTGCATTATGTCACTATTATGAATATGAAAACCTGCTTGCAGTTAGCAGGTTGCTCTTGGATTATTGGGTTTCTTGTGAACTCTATGCCTACATATTTAATAAAACAGTTAGTATTTTGTGGACCTAATGTAATTGATCACTTTTTCTGTGATTTTACACCACTACTGCAAGTATCCTGTAGCAACACCATGAAAATACAGCTTCTAATATTTATTCTGTCAGTTCTCTTTGGATTACTTCCTTTTCTTTTAACCCTTGTCTCCTATGGCTACATAGTAAAAACCATTTTAAGGATTCCATCTACTGTAGGGAGGAAGAAAACATTTTCTACTTGTTCATCCCATCTCACTGTGGTTTCACTCTTTTATGGAACTATAGTTATAGTATATGTGTTGCCAAAAACCAAAACCCTTAGAGATCTTAATAAGATCTGCTCTGTATTCTATACTATTTTGATTCCCTTGGTAAATCCTTTTGTGTACAGCCTGAGGAATAAAGATATAAAGCAAGCTTTGAGAAAAGCTATCAATCATTTTTCTGTTTGACTGTAAGCAACTGTCTATCCCACTTGCCACT